CAATTCCCATAGTCCTAGATTTCAAAATCTTACAAGCCTGGGTTGCCAGTGCCTAAAAGTACCTAATCCTATTTCAACCCACCCCTACTTTAAATTATTTGCTGATGGTAACCAGTCCTTCTCCCTGTAGGTGGATGGAAAACAGACAGGAGGCATTTGTTCATCGTGGTAACCTAGTTAAGAAATACAGAGGTGTGCTTGCTACCCTCACTATCTTGTAGAAATCAGCAAAACCTGATCTGCTCCAATCTGTTTTATATATGTTTTATCTGCCGCTTTTAGTTCTTTGTTTTAGGGGGATTGTATTTTTAATTGGTGAGTTGCTATGAACTGTCCTGGAATCATTGTTTATGAAAGGTACTATATAAATATTTGAAATAAATAAAATAGATGTTCATGTGGGTCATTAAAAACTATGTTTGGTAGAGGTGGCTAGGAGCTTCTCTGCCAAATGAAGCAACAAGCTGATGAGCGAAGCTAGGTAATCTTGCTGTCACAAAAGTTCATTTTCCTGCCTGCTCAGCTTTCTAACCTATTTTTCTCCCATTGCAGATTTTTAAAGAGCATCCTCTGAAAGAAGTGTATAAAAACATGACTCTTTCCAGAGATGAAGAACCAAGTGACCCTGTACCCAATACAGCTCTGCTTTCTCTGGTGCTCATGGGAGGAACATTTTTCATTGCTTTCTTCTTGCGCAAGTTCAAAAACAGCAGTTTCTTCCCCGGCAAGGTAAACTGTGCTTAGCACTTGGATGAAATAGAATTTTTGCATACATAAGACTCTTGGAAAAAAGAAGCTGAAATCCTTTGTGCTTGCCCACAGGGGTTTAGTCTGTGTTCCATCCATAGTTGGAATCAACTGCATTATAAATTGAAGCTGTGGGATGCTGGGAGAAAGGTTTTAATTATCAGCTTAATTTACAATTATTATAATAGAAATTCTAAAGTATTTAGAAATTTAATAATCAATGGGGCTGCAATTCACTTAGACCGAAATCCACTTATTTGGAAATACATCTTATTGAATTCAGAGAGGCTTACTACTGAATAAGCATGCCTAGGATTGCATTAATAAGCCACAGAAAAGTTATTTCACTGGGTGACTCTCCCAAGAATAAATAAAAATAGGTTGCCTTTGTGCAAAATTCAAGCCGATGTTTAAAGGGACAACCACAGGATTGGATGGTTTGTAATGAGCATACAAAAATATTTATTGAACATACGGCTCTCAGTTTAAAAATCTACTTACTAATCTAACAAAGGCAGATTTAAAAATTACAGATACATAGGGAAATCTCAGAAATCAAAAAAAGAAAATATATAGACTTTAAACAAAGGGAGGGGACTTCAGTATCCCACAGAGCTCTTTTCTTCTAGTGTCTAGCATTGCAATTCTGTATATAGAATTCACAGGGATTACTTCCAAGGATGTAGATATAGAGGCAGATGCAGATAAATATGGATTAAAAACTTGGAAGTAATCCCTGTAAATTCAGTAAGACTGCTATTCTATCATATTTGCTAATTGGGAAATAAATCTCAGTTAAAATGGCACTTCTGTATAAATGTACACAGAATGTATTGTGCTGCAAGAGAAATAGGACATTTTTTGTATAGAGTACATGTATTGGCTTAAGAAGCAAAATGTACATAAATTGCACAATTTATTATTGACGTATTTCAGATGAAAGTCCCCAATATACAGGGGTCTGTTTCATTATCACCATTTAGGTTTTAAAAAAACAATACATTAGCACAGAGGTAGGAAGTTTGAGGGTATAGCTGAATTACAATTTGCAGATCTCTGACAATTGGTCATGGTAGCTGGGGCTGCTGGGAGGGCCACGGGTTTCAACCCTGCATTATTGCCCAGTCTGTGGTCATTTCCACACTAGCAATTTCTAGCATCCTTTAGAGTAATCAAACCATAATTGTGCCAAAATAATAGTAATGAGGATAAGTTTTATATCATTACAGAGATGACTGAATGACATTGTGAAAGTGCTACAAATTACTAATGGGGAAATTTCCTCTGAGAACAATGCTTTTTTTTTTTTTTTTAAAGTCCCCTGTTTTCAGTATGCATACTGATAGAAAAGACCATGACTTGGATTTTAGAGCAGACTTTCTAATGCATTATTACCTTTTCTTTCAAAGGCCAGTGTAGCGACTGGAGGCTGAGAATCTCTGCTCTATCTTCTGATACATTTCCCCTTCCTCTCCCCTACCTCCCAATCTTCACTGCTAGGTTAACATACTTCTTGCTTTTTGGCAGCTTCGACGGGTGATTGGTGACTTTGGTGTCCCTATTGCCATCCTGATCATGACATTGGCAGATGTTTTTATTAAAGATACCTACACTCAGGTGAACAACTCTTTTACTTCTCAATATTTTATTCCTCCCCCTACTCCTTTCACTTCTAGTCTAGCGGGTTGGAGCATAAATGCCCCTTCTATGCAGAAGGGAAGGGAGATGCTTGTATACAACCCCCCTCTTTGAAGGGTTAACCTGATTGTTTTTCAAGAGAGTTTGCCTAAGAGACTTAAAGTAAAAGGATAGTATGACACCCTGCCCACCATTCCAAATATAGATGCTGGCTGCATTGGCAGTTGAATCTAATTTCAACATTAGAGGTGGAAAAACATTTCATCAGTGGGCAGCAGGCTTGTAGGAAACAGAGAATCAGAAAGATCATGAAATTCACAAAGCCCATCCAATCTTCCCCTTTGGCATCCATCTTCTAAGGGAACTATTTTATTATGTTCAATGTTTAATGACTGGGCTGGTCCTATTTTCCATATCAGGATGAGCAGGATACCAACAGATCTAGAGTCCACTGATTTTTCTCCTCTTCTCTTGCTTCTCTTAGAAATTGAAGGTTCCCAAAGGCCTTCAAGTCTCCAATCCTGAAGAGCGGAATTGGTTTATCCATCCATTAGGAACTGGTTTTCCCATCTGGATGATGTTTGCTGCAGCTTTGCCAGCTGTCCTGGTTTTCATTCTCATCTTCTTAGAGACACAGATCACCACGTAAGAAATTGGGGAAAGATGAAAAATATAAGATGGGATAAAATGAAGATAAATAAGGATTGACCCAGGGATGAAATATGGCAAAAGGGAATATGATAGATAAAAAGAGAAAAGACAGGAAAAGGAAGTCAGGATGCAAGAAATGCCTCGTTGGTTTAGACAAGAAATGGGTGGTTATGTGGTTCCAGTTCTACACTGATTTCATATCAACTCCAGAATAAAATATGTAGATGTATAAGTTTGACAAAGATGTTTTGGTAGATCCTGAAAGTAAAGATATCAGGTATGTAATACAATATTAAAATAGCAAACAAATATTCTATTTTGATTTTGCTGCTGCTTCAGGCTCATTGTAAGCAAACCTGAGAGGAAGATGGTGAAGGGTTCAGGTTTCCATCTTGATCTCCTTCTTATTGTTGGCATGGGAGGTATCGCACCACTTTTGGGCATGCCCTGGCTGAGTGCCACCACAGTGAGGACCGTCACGCATGCTAATGCCCTGACAGTTATGTCCAAGACCACTGTGCCAGGAGAAAAGGCCTACATCCAGGAGGTCAAGGAACAGAGGGTTACCGGCTTCCTGGTGGCTATTCTTGTGGGTGAGTTCTTCTGCAAAAGATTCCATTGATTTATTTTATTTATTTTATTTATTTCAAGTTTTATAAGGCCACCCAACTCAGATAGTGTGACTCTGGGCGGCATACAGCATAAACACACAATAAATCAAAAAGAAGAAAAAACAAATAAACCATCTACAACAGACAGACAATACATAAATATAAACTTTAAAATGTAAATGTAAAATGGCGACCAAACACACAACAAAACAACCACAGGAGGGACTCCCACTCAACCGGCCCCTAATGCCTGTGGAAAGAGTCAGGTCTTAAGGGCTTTCCTAAAGGCAAGAAGAATTGGGGCCTCTTGTATATTGGGGGTGGTAGGAGGTGATTCCATACAGCAGGGGCAATCACAGAAAAGGCACATTTCCTAGGATCCATAAGATGACAAGATTTAAAAGAAAGAACCTGGAGCGTGCCCTCCCTGTGGGAGTGTGTGGGGTGGGCAAATGTTCTTGGGAGAAGGCAGTCCCTCAAGTAACCTTGTCCTACGCCATGTAGGACTTTAAAGGTCATCACCTTGAATGATTGTCAGAGGATTAGCCAGACACAATCTATGTCCTGTTCACTTATAGAGCAGATGTGATAAGAAAAAGTGAGGTGTCTTTTTTTTTTTAACAGTAGATGGTGAATGCAGATAATAAGAGCTGAACGTCCTTCACATTATCTCCCTGGAGTTTATTGTGTTGTTTTAAGCATTTGAAAAGGGCTTAATTGCAGTGGACATGTTGAACTTGCTAGGTTATATGAACTCTGAGAAACTCCCTATTCCCAATTTACCTGTCCCTCCTGTTGCCACAAGAAGTTGTGATCATTTTTTAGAATAGCTAACACAATATGTAACATATTGCTTAACACAATATGTAGAAGGACACCTCTCACATTCAGAGGAAATATATACCTCTGATAAGCCTAAACTGGAGCCTAGTGATCAAGAAGACTGATTACTGACTTTGTGCTCTGCTTGAGAGTGTCTTGTTGTATCCAGCTGATGTGGGTAAGAAGAATGGTAGGCAAGATTGCTTTCATTATCTCTTCTGGCTGGGAAGGAGAATTCTACAGTTTTTCCATTCCAATTGGAGCCAGGCATGTGCACGTATTTAATCTTTAATTAAATTAAAATTTTTAAATTAAATCTCTTTAATCTGCAGCATTGCCTTTTGCTTACCTACAGGCCTCTCCATACTCATGGAACCCATCTTGAAGTTGATTCCACTTGCAGTACTCTTTGGCATCTTCCTTTACATGGGGGTGACATCTCTCAATGGAATTCAACTATATGACCGCATCCTTCTCATGCTGAAGCCACCCAAATACCATCCAGATGTGTCTTATGTTACAAAAGTAAGCATTGGAGGCACAACTAATGCATTTTTTTTTTATTGTGACCTTGACAATTGCTGAAGTGGGGGAAACATAAATCCATGGGTCAAGAACCTTGCTCCCCAAACATTTGTCCCTGATTCTTGTCTATGACTTCCACGTAGAGTGTTGATGTTGCTTCTACCTCCTTGGAAGCCAAGCTGACCTTCTGCATTAGCTGTAGTGCAGATACAAATCTGTTTTGCAATTTGTAATGTTGGAATTCTGCAAAGCTTGAAGGTGAATCCTTTTTCCATTTACAGAAACTCTTGCTTTACCCTGTCTCTTGCCATCTGAACTCAGATTTCATGGTCTTATCAGTAAACTAGATTTTGATCTTCTTGCCTCATTCCACCTCTGGATTCAAGTGGGCTATTCCTCCCTCACTTCCAATACCCATACATACAGAGGCTTTGCATTGAAATCCTACAACCATTGTTGTAGCTGTTGGGAAAAGAGCTTGGCTATAGAATTATGATATCATGCTTTCATCACTGCTTTCAGGGGAAATATATATGCAGGAAGAATATCTTCATGGAGAGACAGTTTGTAAACAGCTAGAAAACTGAACTGAGGGAAAGAATTTATTCCCTCCCCCACTTTTTTGTGATATAGAAGCCCCTTGCTTTTGCTTATTCCAGGAACAGCTGTAGCTCAGGGAACAAAGCAGCAACCAAACATTTTTGCCCTCTCCTATTGAATGGCTGGAAACAGAACTGATTTGCTTACAATGTTCTCTGCTTGTTCTCAGTGTTGCAAATGAATTGGCAAGAATGAGAATGGTCCTATGGCCATTTTCAGAACACTGGAGGGGTTGGGAGAGTAGAACAGGGCCATGTGGAAGTGCCTATAGACAAGTCAAAGACTTAAGTGGAGATGATATACTCCTTTCCGGGCTGGGTTTACTTATCTCACTCAATGAAAGTTTGATTAGAAGTATCACAATGCTTTTATCAAAGTCTTAAGCATATCTGGTCTTCCAGCTCAGAGAGCTACCACTGGAGGATTATGGAACCAGCATTTTCAATTTTCAAAAAAAACCCTAGTTTTAAATTTTTGGTTTCTGCAAATTCAGAACTGTAGTCATTTCAGTTTTTGACAATATGCTAAGCCTGAGCCGTTAAAAGAGCTCAGGGAGGGATGTAAGAGGAATGGCATATGTGCTCTTAAATGTTCTTACATGGACTTCTTTATTAGCATGTTGTGTGAACACCGCTCTAGAATCTGTTTTTAGGGTCAGGGTTCCACTTGACAAATGTAAAATCTGTATAAAGAAAAATGCCTTTGAGAATATGAAAAATATTTTTGCTTCACCAATGAATAAAAGTGCAGCGGATTGTCGCATATTTTGGAATATGGGATTAAGAAGGCCCCTTAACAGCAATAGACAGAGGCAGGTTTGAGCCCCTCAGTTACTACATCTTTGATCATGAGCACAATTTCTTCATGTTTAACTCAAAGCCAAATTAACATACTAAAATTAGAGGCTTAAATCAAACTAGGATTCAGCATGGCTTAGCCTCAGAATCTGTTTTCAGTTCCATCAGTTAGCATTGGTGAAGTCATAATTACAAACAAAAAATGCATCAGAAAATACTGTTGCTTAGTGATATAGAAAAGAGGAGGAAAGAGTTTCCAGAAGAAAGGGTGTGATCACTTTCAGGCAGGCAGAAAGACTAGCATCTCAGCTTAAAAATGAGTGGTTGGGTTCACGTGATATGCTTACCCTGGTTAATTTAGTCATAGTTGAATTAATTGAACCAGCGGAATTAGTTTATGGCTCAGCAGGCTATGTGATGCCAAAACACTGGGCAGAGTAAAACCTCTAGTTAAGTTGACCATGGGACAAGTGTGTCATGGAAATACAGCCACTGAATCATAAACTAACCACAAAGGCATTGTAAGAAGAGAGCTGCGTTAGCCAATGGCAGCAAAAAATCGGAAGACGTCTGGGGGCACCTTTTCTGACTAACAAATTTTATTAAAAAGCCTACTTTTTTTGTGAGCTGCAAAAGCTGCATTTGCACAATACGCTACTGGGCTAATATGCTAAAAAGCGGTTGACTAATTTATGGCTTGGTGTGGTGTTAGATCACAATCATTGAAACACACCAAAATATGACCAGGACTCTCAGTGACTTGACTATGATTCATACCGAGTTATGCTTGGTTTTAACTCTAGCCTGTTGAATAAGCCAAAACAGTCAAATTCAAACCTACATTAAGCCATAAACCACAATGGCTGAATTCACATACTAGACTAAGCCATCATTTGTGCTATCCTTGCTGTTGAAACCTCAGTGACTGAGTTTGCACATAATGGTGTGCCATGTACTATGGTTAACAAACCACAAAACCCACAATGGCTGGACTTACACATTGCATCAAGCAAAAAACCAAAAAATATTATGTCTTTGCACGGTGGGCTATACATACACACATACACGGATTTAGTGCCATTGTCCAACTAACATTGATACTGACGGGTGATGGAGGGAGACAGCTTGCTAACATTGCCAACTATTCCTGTTTCTTTTCATCCCAAAGGTAAAAACCTGGCGTATGCACATCTTCACCCTCACCCAGATGCTCTGCCTAGGATTGCTGTGGGGAGTGAAATCCAGCCCAGCCTCCCTTGCCTTGCCTTTCATACTCATCTTGACTGTTCCTCTTCGACGCTTCCTGCTCCCTGTCATTTTCACAAACCGTGAGCTCCAGTGTGTAAGTATTGTTGTGCTCTCTCTTCTCTCTCAACAATGGGAACTTCTGATGGGGAACATATTTATGTATGTACTGTATGTATTTATTTATTTCAAAGATTCGTATGGCTGCCCATCTTAAAGCACAACTCTGAGTGGCTCACAACAACAATAAAACCACAAAACTATAAAACCATAACTAAAAACCCAGCACCTCAGTCATCCCCCAGGATGCCCCAGCAACCAGCCACAGAGACCATCACTTGCACCAGAAATGACAGAAGCAATAGAGCAACAAACCAAGACTTTTATGATGGTCTTTTGGGAAGATGCTTGCTTAAGAAACTGAGATCTTCCCTTATTAGTCTATGTCACTGTTTCTCAACTTTGGCAACTTCAAGATATGTGGATTTCAACTCCCAGAATTCCCCAGCTAGCATGGAGAATTCTGAGAGTTGAAGTCCACACATCTTGGAGTTGCCAAGGTTGAGAAACACTGGTCTACGTAATTGTTTTCATACCATGTTCCAAGGAACTCTGGGATTCTTTTGAAATCTATTAGGCTTTCTTGAAGCTGAATATCAGTAATGGCAAGCTAACTTCCCTGAGAGAAGTCTTGAGGCTTACCCCCAGTCAGAAAAGAGTACCAAGGGTACACCAGCAATTCATATGGCATAGCAGCATATCCCAGTTTGCCTCTCAAACTTCAGAAATGCAGGGCTGTCCAAAGCAGTTGAATACTGGTGGGTTCAAAGGAAATAGGTCTTCATGCAGTTCATATTTAAAGTTTACAATTTCCTTCCATGAAATGTGGTCACAGCCACCAACTTGAAGAGCTTTAAGAGGGAATTGGCCACATTTATGGATAATAAGGGTTATCAATGGCAGAGTAGATATGCTAGCTACATGCCTCTTCCAGAAAAAGAGGCTGCAGAAACATGGGAGAGGTCACTAGTACGGTGTGTGTGTTGTCTCTCAATTTAACACTTAATACATAGTCAAAGCTTTTTTTGATTAGCATCTGAGATGGAGAGCTTCTCAAAAGGAAGCTTACCATGTAGTCACCCCAGATGGGTTCCTGTGCTTTGCATTGTGTCTTGACAGACACCAGAGGGACAAATAACTATATTGTCAAAGCATGCAAGTTAGGGGACAATCTCACTGAGGTACAGCCACATCCATCTTGCTCACTGCTGCTGCCCAGGTGGGATGGATTTTTTATCTCTGAGAAAGAGGCTTTGAAGAGCAAGAACAATTGATTATGTGTTGGGCACACACAGCTCCTCACCTTGGATGCTTATAGGCATGTATGAATGAGAAAGTCAGGAACAGTATTACCAGAATGCCCAGCCAGTGTTGATGCTTCACCCTTTTCTGCATTTGAAAGGAGGGAGGGAGTTGTAGTGTGGTGGCAACTTATTCTTCTTGCATTTGCTTATTGATCCTGCAAGTTGAAGCTTCTCAGGAGTGTTTGGCCAGAGTGTCTGACCTAGGACACTGGTTGCTATACCTGTACATGAAGATGAGCACAGGTAGTCCTTGCTTACCGACCACAATTGGGGCCAGCAACTCTGTTGCTAAGTGTCGCAGTTGCTAAATGAAAAATCACGTGACCGCACTAGACTTACAATGTCACTTCCACTTCCATCATTAAGTGACTCACTGTGGTCATTAAGTGAGACATCACGTGACCATGACTTGTGGTTTCACTTCTGTGTTCTCCATTAATTCTGCTTGTTGGAAGCCAGTTGTGAAGCTCACAAATGGTGATCATGAGATCATAGGATGCTGCAATAGTTGTAAATGTGCACTGGTTGCGAAGTGCCTGAGTGGCAATCATGTGACTGCAGGACGCTACAACAGCTGTAAATGCAAGGATTGGTCGCAAAGCTTTTTTTCAACTGTTGTAACTTTGAACAGTCACTATACAAGGCAGTCGGCAAGCAAGAACTACCTGTACTATCAGTGGGTCCTGGAGAGTTATAATAATATCATAATGTTATGATTCTCAAGATGCCAGAGCAGTGTTTCTCAACCTCAGCAACTTTAAGATGTGTGAATTTGCTGGCATGCTGGCTAGGGAATTTTGGGAGTTGAAGTCCAATTTTGGGAGCTGAAGTTGCTGAGGTTGAGAAACATTGTGGTAGAGTATTGTATATGTGATGAGTATATGGTGAGTGTGAGAGTATTGTATGGTTGGCGTTTTGTAACAAGGGCTCTCTTCCTTTGGAAAACACTGTTTCCCCACAGTTTCTCAACAATAGCATTCCTTCTTACAAAATCTTTTTCCTATGAGGCATTATAGAACCATGGAAGAAGCAGAGGTCATCATGCTTTTTCCTCCTCCTGAACTTGGTGGAAGAATTTTTTCATGTAGCAATGTGAAGTTATACTATTGGAGTGTTGCTGCAATAAAAATAAAATAAAATACATCATAAATGTGCTCTTCTCCTATGCTGCCATAGTCCCCACAGTTCTTACTATTCTCCTACAGTAGTATTTCCTTTATTGGTACAGGTCTACTAGCAGAATGTTCATAAGCTGTGGGTGTTCCAGCAGTATTATCTGTCATTCTGTCTGTCTCCTTTGAATTTTATTGAATTTTAATGCCTCTTAAATAGGGAAATTTGTGTATAAGATTACACCCTTATTTTCCCCCAAATTACTACAATAATGCATACAAAGTGGTCACTGCCTTTGTTAGTCATAGTGGAGTGGCATGATTGAAGAAACATGCTAATATTCATATCTGACAGCTCTAAGGAATTAGATTGGGCTCAAAGCTCCTTTTGCCTCTGGATCCAAAATCTGAGGCACCTGAGAGAATGCAAAGCATTTGCATTATTTTGATCTGTGGTTCTTCAGTACAAGAAGGAAATCTGTGAATTTCTGTGCACTTCGTATCATCCCTAATAATGTTTATAACATATAAAGAAGTTTGTAGGTTTTATATTTGTCTTCCAACCACCTTCTGAGGATGCACCACAACATGAGAAAGTTAAGGAACTATATAGGAGAGTTGAATATATATGGAATTGGTGAAATAACAACACAGATTATGTGCCATGAAGTTGTTGTCAACTCTTAGTGAGCACATGGATATATTTTCTCCATGACAATCTAAATGCTCAGCAGAACATCATGTGTTTTGTAATTCAGTCCCTGACATCTCCAGCTTAAAAAGAACTCAACAGAGGGGTTGGGAAAGATACCTCTGCCTTTGGTCTTGGAGTGTTGCCATTTTTTTTATTCCTAGTTCCACGTTTAATCTTTGCGTGGAATGTCAGAGGCAGTATTTTACAAAGTAGACAGAACCAGGATGAAGTGGGTGGAGACCATATAAAATCTGAATTTGATTTCATTTGATTTGAAATTAGTTAAAAGTAAAATATAATTAATTAACTGCAGTTATCACTATATTCCTCATATAGTTGATATTTTTCATTTCATTTTTCAGTATTTTCATTGCCAGCAACTTTTGGAGGACTACTGAGAGCCACATCCAAAGCTTGGAGAGAGCAGGTCTTACAAACCTAGTGCTAAAGATTGCCTACCCATGGAGTTGATAGTACTAGCTAGCTTATTAACTATATGATTCTATATAAGGTAGCTTCAGGTGTAATGATTATTCAAATCCACTTAATCCTTGGCAAATGAAAAGATCAAGATTTCCCAGGCTTAAGAATAGCACTCTGTTTTCTGAGCCATGCTTAGTTTCTAAATGTATTCTTATTTCCTTCCAGTTGGACGCTGATGATGCTGAGGTGACTTTTGATGAGGCAGAAGGCCAAGATGTCTATGATGAAGTCCAGATGCCTGTTTGAGCACCCAGGGTGCTGCTGCTGTAATTAGGCAAATGAGGAACCAAAAATTATTTCCAAAAACATTGGACAACATCAGAATCTGGAGGAAGATATCCCTATATCTATATGAATCAGAGTATATATATATATTAATTTCACATTGCCAAACATTCCAGTGGCGTAAATATACATGATTGTCAACACATGGATCCTGTAGGATTTAAGTAACATATTCTTCTTCCAGATAATTATAGTTCTATAGTAAATCTTAACATTTCTTTCTTAAGATTTAGGAAATAGATATATTTTCCCAGAAGGGGAGGAAAATACCAAGATATGCACGGATTGTTGAAGACATGAGACATGTCAACAGTGGACTCCATTTTTAATACAGCCTGTAACCCAGTTGCTTCTCTTCTGTGTGTGTGTTTGTGTATTTGTGTGTGAAGCTTTATCAGTTGGACATAGAGGAATCAACCTACTCTTCTTCCAAGATAAGAAGCATTTTTGTCACTCACATTGCTAGACCATGTACACCAATGTACGTATGTCTGTAGACATTTTATGAAAGAAATGCTGAACATCCAACACTATTCTCAGAATTGATGGACCATCTAATGCTGGAGTGAAATGAAGCTAAGAAGAAAGAGTGATAAGCTTTTTCTTGGCCACTGGAATTGCAGAATGGGAAAAAGATGGACCATGCAAATGAGGCACAGAACAAAGAAGAAACACACTCAGGGTGCCATCTTGGCAATGGAGAGAAGCAACAAGCATAACCTCAGGACAGAAACCAGGAGTGGAAGTGGCAGAACCATCAAGTTTCAAGGATCAAGAATGCTTGTTGGCTATGAAATGCTGTCAGATGAATCAAATCCATCATAGCCTGGGAGGAGGGGATAACACATTCTAAAAATTGGCTTCCGTGGAAAGCTTGTCATCTTTTCCTTTGAAGCTGGATTTTATTTTTTGTGAGTTCATCCTACTACCTTCCCCACTGGCACTTGAACTATGATAATATGATGAAGACATCGTCCAAATGATATCCAAGTACAATTCTGCCTTGGTTACTTCTGTTGCTTGCTTGTTCTTGTAGTTAGTTTTTAACAAATGCTACTGCTTTTTTCCCTAAGCTGGCATCTATCCAAACTCCTAGCTGAGAAAATATGCCACTTGACAGAAAATTAGCGTATCCCAGATTATAATAACTAGAGCTGTATAGCTGAAAGTGCAGGCATAAGCTACTATCTGGTGCATATTGACATCCTGAGACTCTTAGCTTCCAATTAAATAGCAATATTTTTAGTCCTCATGGAGCAGAAAAATCTTGTAAATCTCACCAGTCTGTCCCTCCCCTTGCTTATTAACCATTCTGAAGTATCCAAGAAGCCAAGCTAAGCTGATGTCTGCAAACAGGCTTAATTTACACAAAAGACTGTTATTGCAAAATAGGGATTTAATTGTTGCACACCTTACTTTAAAGATATTTCACACGTGTCAATCTCACAGTGCTTTTATACAACAATATACAACTTTATCCCTCTCCCACCTCAAGTCTCTGCACCAGGTGTGGTTAGCAGCTCTGAATCAAGCTCTGAGTCCACATTAACTCTCATTTGGCCAAGCTTTCTTCAAATGGTCTTTGACAATCCACTTTTTCTTTCTCAGTAACTGCCTGTGTTGCCCACTGAAAGTTTGTCTCATTTTTTTTTTCACCTGATTTTTTTTTTCCTTGGGAAGTGGCACTGAATATAGGAGCTATATTAATGCAGCAGGTTCCCCTTCCTGCTTATGATGCTTGAAAATATTTGTCATGGTGGTATGAATGCAATACTGGTAGTAGTCATTTCAGCAATATTATTATTTGTTATTTCCTAAAAAAGAATAAAGGTGCTAAAGCTCAACAATATCTGGAATCCTTCGATTTGCCAATGCCTGCTTTCTAATCCCAGGCATGCATGGGCTACCATGGTGTTGCAGTATGAATGAAAACTTTCTGTGCGTGCCTAAGATGCTTTCTCTTTATTATTTTACATTATCCAGAATTGAATCCTGGCTCTAATGAAGCACTGCTTAACATAAGTTTGATTAGCAGCAGGACTGGGGGAAAAAGAAACGGTAATATTTCCTCATGCGATGCATAAACAATTTACGGAACTTATTGTCCCATGTTGTAATGATGGACATTAGCTTCTGTCACTTTAAATAAGGAATTTGATATGTTAAAGATGACTAGATCAGTATGTGTTAGTCATGACAGCCAAATGGAACTTCCTTCTTCAGAGGTATTATGCCAGATTATGAGCATAAACTAATGAGATGACCACTGTTATTGTGTCCTTCATGAGAGCTTCTCAGTTTGTGACTTCTGTTAAAAGGCAAAAAAAATAAATAAATTGGGACCCACAGTCTGATCCATTGAGGTTCTTATGTCCTTTTATTAAAGGAGAAAGGAACACAAAAAATGTATTCAGCCTTGGAGTCTTGGGTTCAGACCCTCTTCCTGATAAAATTCACCACAATAATTTCAGTTTGTATTAGCTGAAAGACAGTATCCATTTTATATTAATTGAAAACATGAAGTCCAGGGATTCTTATTCTACATTAATCATGTAGTATCATTTGCATTGCCATTTATGCAGATAGGGGTCTAGTTAGACTGCTAATTCTTTATTAGCAGTGGAACAGATACAAGCTCAACAGCTAAACATGGTGTGCTACAACAGGGCAAATTGGACCTGCAGATAACTGGTATACCAGTTTTTTATTATTCATTCATTAGACTCTTCTGGGAGTGCAAAATGATGTGCATAATACTCCCTCTGCTATATTTCTGCACAGCCACAATCTTGTGATGTGAGATGGGATGAGAAATAGTGGCTGACCAAAAGTCATCCTGTAAGTTTTCATAACCAAGGATGGCTTTCAACACAGCCCTAATCCAACCCCTTAATCCAGTGTTTCTCAACCTTGGCAACTTTAAGATGAGTGGACTTCAAC